CTAAGGAGTCAATTCTAACTACAGTTCAGTAGTTTTATAGCCTGAAGGGGAGGGCAAATGGGAAGTCCCAAGTTCAACTGAAACCAGGAGGATGAGAAATGGCCTACTGGAGTTTCTCACAAGGCTGCTTATCTCTCTTTGTTCCTGGAGGAACCACAGGGCAGCCCACTATGACTATAATTAAGTCTTGCTGCTGTGTCCTACATGGAGACAGGCAAGGTCATGGCACCACAGCAGAACTGCTCACTTACAAGTATTATCAAGAATATAATTTCTGTTGTTGCTGTTATTCCTGGTAAGGTTAAAATTGCTACTTCAGCAAATCAGAAAAAAATAAATTAATTAAATCAAATTTTAGATCCAGTGCTGAAATAAAGTTCAATATTGCTTTAATTCTCCTCCCTAAACATACTGAATTCATAAAACCAATGGGCATGTGTACAACTGAATTAAGCATGAGTTAAACTTTATTGATGACAAATTTATTATCATAATAAAGCAGCTAAGCTTCATAAGAGACACTAAACTTTCTTGAAAAGAAAAACACTTGGTCATTAGTATCTTTCAAAAGATGTATCATATAATTGCCTCTCTACTCTTTAAAACTTTTGCCATAGGAGTTGTCTCTCTTATTGTTCTTTTAACACTCTAATCTTTTCATCGGCCTCTTCTGCTGAATCCATTCCCTTGCCAAGATTCTGGGCCACTGATGAAAGAACTGAAAGAAAATCTTCAAGTTTTTCAATGGAAATGGGATAACATTAGGTCTACATTTTCTCCATGCTCTCAGGTATTTTAAACACACCAGTCACAATCAATTTTTAAATGGCAACTATTAAAACAAAACAGTATTGTTTAAAGAGTAGCACTTTGTACAGAGCAACTTTCAATATTATTTGAAAAGTCTTTAAAATGTATGAACTCAACCCTAGGAGCTTACTCATGGGAACTGCTTCATAATATTAGCAAACAGCATTTACTCAGTACTGAATAGGTACGAAATACTCTGCCTACAGCTTTATGCACCATGTCATCATTTACACTTTGATGGTTCCTGAGACAAAGCAGTTTACTCCTGGGCTCCACCTCACTGCATGTTGCTGAGAGGTGACTTTCAAATTGTATAGACTCCAAAGCTAATGATCTTAAGCACCCTTCATTGTTTCTCCAGGACAAATCTGAGAGGCAAAGACATGCACCCATGTACAAAGATTTAAATATCAAAATAATCATTTAAAAAATTCGTAAAATTCTTACAAACGCCGGAGAGATCTTATGCCCTGACGTTCTGCCTCAAAGCACTAACCTCCCCAATATACATAGTTCCATCTACTAAACACATTCATAAAAGCTACTCTTTGCTCTTTGAAGAATCGCTCATATTGATCTCAGATTCAGTTTAGATAATTTAGAAGGCTCTCGATCTATCATGCAGTTGAACACTAAGCGTACTCAAACCTAGATATCACAGGCTACAGTAAGTTACTATTTCATTAAGTTTCCTGATTTGCTGCAAGTCATTTTCAGCTGCCCACTTTTCAACAGTTAATACAATATACATAAAGCATCTCAAAAGAATAAATATGAAAGTGATAAGAAGGGTGCAGGGGAAAGGAAAGAGGGAACCATACTACATGGCTGGGACACAGGAGAGAGAGAGCTTTTGAACTGAATTTTGAGCCAGGTAAATTAGATATTCGAAATGAGAAAGAAAAATTTTTTTTGAATGTTAAGATTTGCCTTTTACTGAATTAAGATTATAACTAGCAAGATCACTGCTTAAATTCGCCAGGCTCGATCTGCCCATATGTACATAAATTATATTATATAACATTATTTGTTGAGGCGCACTATATGTCAAGCATTGTCTAGATATTTTACATGCACTATTTCTAATCTTCATAATAAGAAAGACAGGTATCTCCATTTCACAGATGAGAAAATAAGCTCACTAGTAGGTGATTTATTCAAGGCCTCAGAATTGTAAATGGCAAAACAATCCGGTTTCCAATCTTACAACAGAAGATTCACACTGGACCTTTTGAAAATACACTTTACACTCACTAGACATTCTTCTGGTACCTTTTCTCTGCTTCCACTATGTGCATGTCTTCCTCCATCCAACTCTAAATACAAATATTCCCTAAGGTTTTTTCTGTCCCTAGGGCCAACTACTCTTTTCCACCCACTCTTCCTGGGTCATTCTACACTCTCAAGGTTTCCCCCAGGCTTGTCCTCCATATTAACCTTGGATAAACTCACTATATCCAAAAATGAGTGCCCACAGTGCAAGTATAAAATGGAAACTCCCTTTGATTTTTCTCTCTCCCCTAGCCATTGGGTTTCTGACATTTTAACCAGTGTCTGACACACAGTAGTTACTTAACATTTGGTGGCTGAGATGCAATAGCCACAACATAAGCATGAGAGCCTGAATTAATGCTTTCTTTCTCTTGTTTCATATCCAATTTATTTGTTCTTAATGTTTCTTAAATTTGTCCCTCTCTTCCATTCCAACAACTGCTCCCACACTACTCTTGTGTCCACTTAATGTAACTAGTTTCTATACTATACAGCAGTTAGTTATCTGGTTTTTTTTGTTTGTTTCTTTTGGGGAGTGGGGGGTGGAAAGACCGCATTTACCTGCTTAAAAGTCTCTCCTGTTTCTAAGTTCCTTAGTATGGCACACAAGACCTTTCCCACAATTACCACTCTCTATTTTACCTCTCCAGTAACTCCTTGACTCAAATACTTAGAGTATTTCATGTTCCAACTAACATTAACCTTTTTACCCCACTTCAGACCATTTTGTCTCCCTTCCTTTATTCTGGCAGTAGAGTTCTCCTTTGGTTCACATGTATCCTCCTATACTTAGCCTGACAGTCTCTATCTTTACCCATCACTCATTCCTTGGGAGAACTAAGGGTTTAACCATCCTAGATGCTTCCTTTCTACAATCACATCACCATCACTGAATATACACACTGCAGTAGTACCTGGCTACCTGTCTTTAAGCTAGATCAAGATCTTGGACAGGGGTCAATCATTTTTATATTAACAGTACCTAGCATAGAGTCTGGCACATTAAATGCTCAAAAAATATTAGTTGAATGAACTAACCAATAGGGACTTGTAGACAGATGACTTCTGCCCATTCGCATGGCTCCAAAACCTAGGTCTTGCCACTGTTACCTTTGCATTTCTAAGGCAACAGAACACATTAGGTAGTGCCTACCACATGGCACACAAAATTCTGTGTACAGGTAGCTGCCCTCTCCTTCATAAACGCTAATAGAAGTTTTCTTCTATTAACTTGGAACTACATGGCTGCTCTATTTTCTCATTTTCATCCCTGTATTTCTTCTCATCTCTTTATGTGCAGCTTGCTAAATGGTTCTCATCTTCACATACCACATTTTCTTTCACTTTCCTACAAGTCATAGCTTTCTAGTGAATGGCAAGGGCTCCTTCTGCCCTTGAAGTGGCTTTTTTTCAGAAATACAGTTTACCCAAATAGTATGTTAAGAGCCTTACTGTGACTCAGATTTTCCTTACATGAAAGTTCTGTATGTGGGCAAAGCAAAACATAAATAAAAGCAAATATTCAAGTGTCTTCTAAACAGCAGGCTTAGAAGGGGAAACAGTTATCAGGAATGCACAGAAGTTTGCTATAGAAGAATATAAATCAAAATTAAGAAAGAGTAGGCTTTGATTGGGATTGTGGTTAAGCAGGTGAACGCAGGTGTCACCACTTATCTACTATACACTTAAGGTTTGTGCATTGTTTTTACACTTCAAAAAAACAAAAACTAAGTAAGCCCAAGAAAAGAAAAGCGACCGCCACATTTTTAACAATATGAATACATTAAAGTAAAATGTATTTCTGGGGGTGTCCGATCAGCTAAAGTGTCTTATTCCAGAGAATCCCAGTCGCATATTTAAGCTGCAATACAAGAGCGCTCTAGACAGCTGCGATGTGCATCCCACGGGTTAATTCCTTCCTGCTCTTCTCCAGCGGGCCTGCAAATGCTTTTCAAACACGTCTTCTGGCTGGTTTATTCTTCGACCCTATAGCCGACGCAGCTCTCCAACACCACTCAGAACTCCACCCCCTACTTCCGGCACTCTCCTTCCCTCGCGCGCGCCAAAATCGCTTTCTCCCCTCTTAAGCCTTTCCTGCTCAAGCCCCACTATTCTCCTTCCCAATCAGTTCGTGGGGCTGTCCTGCCTCAGGCTTTCCACAGCCCGTACGCAGGCTCTCGGGCGGGTTCCTGCAACCTCCCCGTCCAGCCCCACCTGCCCCGCGCCCCAATTTCCCACTCTCCCCGCCCCCCAGCTCGTTCCCCGGCTCCCGCCCCTCCCCCGCTGGCGCTCACATTTTTCGCTGCCGCTCGAACTCCGCTTTCTTCTCCTCCTCCTCTCGCTTCTGCTTTTCGTCCAGGCTGCTACGCTTGCTGACCGTGCGCCCGAAGATGTCGATGCGGTCGGGTGGGGACGAGGCGCGCTCCCGGTCCCGCTCGCGCCGGGACACGGCCGTGTTGGTGGAGCGCGAGCGGGACCGCGACTCCCGCCGCCGGTTCCGTTTACTTTCCCGGGATTTGGAGCGCTTCCGCACGCGCTCCTTGTCCCGGGACCGCGACCGGGACCGGCTCCGCTTCTTGTTGTGTTTGCTGCTCTTGGTGTGTTTGGAGCGGGACGAGCTCCGGCTCCGAGACCGGCCCATCCTTCCGGGCGACGCTGTGACTAACCGCTGGCCTCGGGCCCCGCGCGCGCCTAGCTTCTTTAGCCTCTGACTCCAGACGCAGGCTGGCCGTCCCGTTGAAGCCGGGGGAAGGAAAACTGTCAGCCGGCTGACTTTCTGTCACTCCTTGAGGTCGACGGCTGCCACGAAGACCGCCTCCAACAACAAGGCCGCAACACCAGGAGTTGCTAAGATGGCAGCCACGGCTGCACCGGCCTCCCTTCCCACAATGCCCCGCGCGGAACGCGCCGCCGCACGAGCCCCTCCCCCTGACGATTGTTGCCGAAGGCGAGGCGAGCGTTTCCGAGCGCACTCGGCTCCTTCCGCCATCACCTGCGCCATCCTGACGCGCGGAAGCCGAAGTCCCTCGCTTCCGTTTTAGTGCACTTTTGCTTTCGGGTAAGATGGCAACCAATACTGTAAGAATAAACCTGTCACGTTTTCGTGCGAACGAAATCATGCCTCGCCCCGAACTAACTGCTTTATTTTCTAAGTTGGTTTTCTCAGGCAGCCCTAAATTATATTGGAGTGACCCTGAGCAGATCGCTTGCCTCTCTGAGTTTAGTTTCCTTATTTGTACAATGGAAATAACTACACTTTATGAGGTGGATGTGAAGATTACAAGAGATAAAGTAAGCTTTGATGAGTGGAAGCCAATGCTTAGCAGAGGGCTTCATGTACCAGGCGTTGTTTTATATGCTTTGCGTTTATTAACTGATGTTCTCGTTTTAGGGAGGGGGACGCTGAGGTCAGAGAGTAAAGAAGTTGTCCAAGCACACAACTAGCAGGCACCATAGGCAGAGCAGGAGTGTGTATCTATGTTGTAAAGCCCTTGCACATAACCAATAAACCCACCAAGCCCTAGCTACAAAAGCTGTGGCCCTGTATGGTAAACAAACCGTCACTGTCAACCCCCCAAAGAAAAAGAGACATTACTATTCATATGTGATAAGAAACCTTGAAAACCTAGGTCCCTCAAATTTTAAAACAGTTCAGCAAAAGGCTGGAATGATACTCATCTAATGTTAAAGACAGTTATTTACGAATAGTTGGTAGATTGGTTTCCTAGACCACCACAAACTGGTGGTACAAAATAACAGAATTTTGTTCACTTAAAGTTTTGGGGTCCAGAAGTCCAAAATCAAGATGTCAGCAAGGTTGGTTCTTTAGGAGGCTCTGAGGGAGAATATGTTCCATGCCTCTCTTAGCTTCTGATGGTTGCTGGCAATCCTTGGTGTTCCCTGGCTTGTAATCTAGTCTCTGTTTGTGGTCTGCCTTTTTAAGGATGTTAATGATTAAATTAGGACCCACCCTAATCTAGTATGACCTCATCTTAATTACATCTGCAAAGACCCTATTTCCAAATAAGGTCACATGTCCAGGTCACATGAATTTGGGGGAGATATTATTCAATCTACTACAGTTAAATTTTTTTTAAACTTTTTTTATTAGTATTTTCCTACATGTTATAAATTTTTTCTAATAAATATATGATATTTTACAAAAGGAATAAAGAGATGTTTCTTTTAAATAGTACAGGAATATGAGAAATGTCACAATCTCGTATATGTAAGGATGATGCTTTAATTTAGTGGAAAAAGAATGGTTTATCAATAAATGCTGCTGGCATGGTTAAAATAAAGACATTAAAAATAAAATACAATTAATTTACATTTTTGCATTATAACAAACAAAAACTAAGATGACTTGAAGTCTAAATATATTCAAAAGTTTAAAATATTTTATAAATATAATCATGTAAGACAAAAATAAGCAACTATGGAGCAATGGTTATACCACTTGGAGATTATTTTTAAATACAAAAATGCTGTGTCATGTTCCCGGAGATTCTCATATAGTGCTTGGGTCCCAGAATCTCCATTTTTTAACAAGCATCCACATGATTCTCTTGCAGGCATCCCACCAACCATAGTTTAAGAAACACTGATATAAATGAATAGGTTACTATATTATGTAAATAAGAGACAACTTTGGGAGAAAATATTTGCAATATTTAGCAAGCAAGGCATTAATATCATTGGTATATAAAGAGTTCCTAATAATCAATAAAAGAAATGCAACTCAATAGAAAAATGAGCAAGATATAAATGAGCCATTCACAGAAGAAATACAACTGATAAAAAATGATAGAAAACCTGGTAAAAGGATCTAAACCTCACTAATAACCAGGTAAATGCAAATTTAAATAACAATTATCTGTTCATTTTCCTATAATCGACAATTATTTTTAAAATTACTAATAAAAAACCTGGAAAACAGAAGTGTGTCAAAGTCCACCCAAATTATGAAGGATTATCTCTGAGGATGCAGTAAAGGAATGAGGGAGACACATTCCATGCCTTTACTTAATAACATTTATTAATAAAGTGTTAATAAGGTGAAAGGGAGAGGTGTTGAAGACAAACACCCATATATACTGTTAGCAGTTTATTACAACCTTTTTAGGGTGTAATTTGGACATGTCTATCAGCATTTTAACTTTTGATACCCCATGACCCACTATCTTCACTTCCCACAGATAAATAACACAAGAATTTGTCCCACAGATAAATAACACAATAGATATGATATAACAATATGTAAGAATACTTATCACAGCATTGTTTGAATGGCAGACAATTGAAAACAATCTAAATATTAAAGGAGAAAAAGTTTATGGTGCATCTACAAACAAAATACAGTACAGATCTATATGGACTAATTTGCAAATATACCTTCAGTATAATTATGGGTATTAGATGCAAAGGGAAAGCTGAAGAAGAATGTGTAGGTTGCAATCTCATTTTTGTTTCCAAAAGCATATTTGTGTGTATATTTATCTATGTGAGTGATAGCTACATATTACATAGATAAGTCTAGAATTGGAGGAGTAAACTGGGAAACTTAGTCTTAAATTGTTTACAGAGCAAGTAATCTATTTATTTAAATTACATGTGTACTGGAGTGGACTCTAAAATGACTTATGGAACTTTTAAAGGAAGATGGTAGTTATCCCACTCAAGTCATAGTTTTTTTCCTTTCCTTGAAAAGAAAAACCTGGAAAACAGAAGTGTGTCAAAGTCCGCCCGAATTATGAGGGATTATCTCTGAGGATGCAGTAAAGGAATGAGGGAAACAAATTCCATGCCTTTACTTTATAATAATCAAGGTCTAGGCATTTCACACTCCCTGAACGAATCTTTTTTTTTTTATGAGCTTACTTTTTCATTGATTATCTTAGGCCACTGGAATCCAGTTCTAGGGAACTTGGCTGATTTGCGTTCATTGAAACCCATGGGTTAGCATGCTAACCTTAAATGTATGCTGAATGCATGTTGAATGAATAAGATTTGAGTGACTTTTACTTTGAGTATGAGCTGGTTCTATTTCTCTTGTTTTGTTTTTGGACTCCTTTTAAATTTCCTGTTGCCTCCTCTCCCCCATTCCCTTCTCTCATTAAAAGTGTTTCCTCAGTTCATCTTTGAATAATTACAATAGCCAAATATAAATAAGATATCATTTAAAAACATCATTCTAAAGAACAATCTTCTAATGTAAAAAATGCCAAGGAGATGCCTGAATATATCTTTCCTCTTAATTCTTAAATTACTAATTCTCAATGTCTTTTGCAAACTTTTCAGAATTTGAGATGTATACTGTAACTTCTTGACGAAGTATCATTTATGCAGAGCATAATTACTAAGTGCTTAGTTTGTATGAGTGTTGTGCTAGTTGCTTATGGACTTATACCTACGCTTAATGTATAGATGGAGCACTTGGGCACCGGGTACCAGTATCCTGGTAGCTCACTCATCTACCAGTCAGTCTTTCTTGTTTCTTAGATTAATATCTCCCTAACTTTTCCTTGAGTTATTTGAAACCCCATTCATACCCATCCTTCCCTACCATACTAACTCCTTGCCTTTTGGCAGTTTAGTTCTCCTTGACAGCACTTTTCATATTTGTGATTTTTAAAAAATGTCAACTAGTTATTTAATAGTTGTATCTCCTGTGAAAAATGAGCTTCTTGAGGAGATGAGAGGAGAGAGCCATGTCTGATTTGTTCAGTTTTATATTTTCATCTCATGTCTAGTACCTTGCACAAGGGAAGCATTGGACGAAACATAATTTAGATGAGTAAACATGGGGTACATTATTTGGTTTCTTCTAGAAACCTTCAAACAGTGCTTCTTTTAAACCTACTTGAGACAATTCAAAATGACAGAATTTTACATAGTTTGAACATAGAAAAACTGATTTCCATCACAACTTTGGCAATAAAATCAGCAAAACTCTATCTAGCGTCCAAAAATTATCTTTTGATTTAATTCAGAATGTTCAGTTCTGTACAAAACGTACAGCCCCTTTGTTTCCTAAAACAAATGTTACTCTAATTCTTCATCTAAAGCTATTGTCTGGAGGCCCTATGCTAGGCAAGGTTAATTGTAAAATTGTAAGTGTGCCTCTACACAAAAATTAAAGGAGAAAAAATCCAAGTTTGCCTAAGAAACAAAAGGAGCAAGCAGAAAAAAATATTTTTAGACTGAGAGAAGCACATGCAGATAGTCCAAGCAGCAACAAATGCAGAGATCTATGTCTTTTCTGCTCAGATGCCTGAAGAGCAAGGCAGAGAAAAGGCAAAGAAAGCCCTCCCGGAAACTTGCTCAGCCTGAACAGTGACAAGCTGATCTCTGAGAGATGGGAGTGTGAGCTTGGCAAGCTTCTGACATGGAGCCAGTCTAAATCGAGAGGCCAAATTTAGGTCAAATAAGAAACAAATCCTGACTTATTAAGGACAGATTTATTCAAAAGGATTATTGCAAGGGGTTTGGGGTGTGGCTATAGAAATAGGGAGAATGTGACAAGATCCGTCTCCAGAGTTAGGCAAAAAGGGATTTTCTTTTATAAAGAGTAAATAAGGTCAGAGAGACCCAGGTACACAGGAGTGGGGTGAAAGTGGGGGATGATCCAAGAGTAGGTCAGAGAATGTTTAATTCTGAGGCCAGCCTGTTCTCAGAAGGAACCCTCTTACTGACTCGGGCAGAAGGTAGGCCAAACTTTAGTCACCTGGGGGCAGGAGAGAAACTTAACCAAAGTTTGACTAACAAGCATTTTTTTTTCCTTTTGATCAGTGGGGCAAAATAGTTCATCTCATTTATGAGGCAAAGAATGGAAATTTAGAGGGTCTGCCTCTGACCTTGTCATAGATATTCACAAGGACTCCTGTGAGTCTTATCTAGTCATGTGGGGAGGAGGGATTCCTTGCAGTGTGTCATTTTCCAGAGCTCAAAGTGTGGGAAATCTCTTAATTTTCGCTGCTTTCCAAGAACATGGGCTTCAGGTAATAGTCAACACTGTCATTAAGGGCTTTGAAGGACAACCTAAGAATCTTCACTTACTCCTTCTCTGACTCTCCTCCTTTCTCTACATAGATCTGAATTCCTGACCTTTATTCTTTTCCTTCTCTCTGAAGAACTTTTTATAATTCCTCACAAGGCAGGTCTGGTGACAAATTCCTTCAGTTCTGTTTATTTGAGAAAGTCTATATTTCTTCTTTACTTTTTTTTTTTTTTGGATGAGTAATAATAGCTCCTGTTTATTTTTTTTAAATTTATTAAATTTTTATTCTTTTTACCTTTTGACCCCTTTCACTTATTTCTCCTACTCCCTACCTCTTGCCTTTGGCAATCACCAATATGTTTTCTGTATCTATGAGCTTGGTTTTTCGTTTTGTCTTGTTTTGCACCTTAGTCATTGTTATTTTAAATTCCCGATCTGATAATTCCAAAATCTCTACCATATCTGGGTCTGTTTCTCATGTTTGCTTTGTCTCTTCAGATTTTGTTTTTTCTTACCTTTTTGGCATTATGGCTTATAACTTTTTGTTATTGAGTAATAGATACATTTATCTGAGGTAGCTAGGCCTTTGGTATAAAGTTCATGTTTTTCTGGCTAGGAATCAGTCTCTGTTCATTGTTTACTGTAGCCGTAAGTGTCAGAGGCTTCAATTTCCTCTGTGTCCTTGATCTTGTCTCCCTGTTGTCTTTGGGCTTCCCTAGGAATTCTTTCTTAAATAGAGTTAGGGCCTTGCGGTTCTTTTAGCTGTAATAATCTGTTATTATGTAGGAGGCCTATTGATTTGGGGCTAAGGTATGGAGGAGGGGACTCATTCTATAATCCTATAATTAGGTCTTTATTTCAGTGAGTCTGTACCCCTGGGCCGTGACCTTCATAAGAGTTTCTCAGTATTTTTTCTTTTTTCATTAGGTGAGACAGGCAGGATAGATGGGGTTGGAGCTTGCCAATGTCCCTTATCCCAGGTCGGATAAGACTCTGGTGAAGTCTTTTTTTCTTCCCTGGTAGGCATTTGTTATGACATATTTCAACATGGCTGCTCCTCCCATTCCAGCCAAACACAAGGGGATTTTCCTCCTGTCTTTATGGCGAGAACCTCATGGGGATACTAGAGGTAAAGATTTTTAAAAATGTGGAGGACCCTTGCTTAGATTGGGCCCGCAGGAGTTTTTCACTCACAAGTTAGTCTATCCTCAGCTTCCAGCAATTTGTTAAAGATACCACTTAAGTGTTCCTGCCTGTTGTGGTTCCAGTAACTTCTGCTTCAGGAAAACTGGTCTATATTCTCTGTATTTTCTGTATTTACCCATTTCTCCAGTTTTCAGGGCAATGGTTTATCCTGTGACCTAAGTTCTCTGATAAATCTAAGAAAAGTCATTGATTTTCAGTTTGTTAAGCTTTTCTTGTTCTGAGGTATGAAGACATGACTCCCAAGCTTTTGTTTTGTTTTTATACTTAAATAGTTGTTTTAGTTCTCACAAGAATTTCACATCAGTGACCTACGAATTCACCAGTTTTTTTCAGGTAACAGAATCTTAACAAATGTGTCTGAGCTATGTCCTGTCTCTGGGTTTTGTTTTTTTCACATTTGGTGTGAGCAGTCATTTCTTAAATTTAAAAAAAAAGTTAAGATATTTCAAAAGTTAGTGTCTCACTACCAGCCTGTGACTAGTTAACCAATTTTATTTTTTTTGAAAGAAGTACTTTGAGAATAGCCTACACTCTTCCCTTCTCTCTTTCATTTTAGTCCACAGTTATTAAATTAAATGTAAACTCAGCTGTTTTATTTAAGTGTTTTGTGGTATTTACGAGTAGGGGGACTAGCATTTATTGGCAAATATTTATGCCCCAAGGACTGTGCTAAGTGCTCCTCAAACTTCAGTGTGCATTTGAATTATCTAGAGATCTGGCTTCAACGGAAACTCTAACTCAGTTGGTCTGGGTGAGGGCCTGAGTTTCTCACAAGGCAATGCTCAGGTTGCTGGTCTGTGGTCGCACTTGTCTTAATTAACCCTATTTACAGATAAATACTCTGTAAAGGTGAAATGGCTTTTACACAGCTTTACAGCTAGTCAATATTTAAATCCAGGTTCTTCAGGCTGCAAAAGAAGTAGCAAAGGGGTACCCTGCAGTTAATTTTCCTTTCTTCCCCACAACCATAGGCCATTATTTAGATCTCTGTTTAGGACACTGTTGTAGGTTAAATTATGTCCCCCAAATTTTCAAGTCCTAAGCCCCAGTACCTGTGAGTGTCACCTTATTTGGAAATAGTGTCTTTACAGATATAATAAAGTTAATATGAGGTCATACTAAAGTGAGGGGTCCCTAAAGCCAATATGACATCTTTATAAGAAGAGGAGAGTGATGCAGACACACACAGAGAGGAGAAAGCCATGAAGACTGAGCAGAGAGACTGGAGCGATTCAGCTAAAAGCCAAAGAATGCTAAGGATTGCTAGCTGCCACCAAAAGCTAGAAAAGGCAGAGAACCTCTCTAGAGTTTTCAGAGAGAATGTGACCCTGACAATACCTTGATTTAGGAATTCCAGCCCCCATAACTGTGAGACAATACAATTCTGTTGTTTTAAGCTTCCAAGTTTGAGGTAATTTGTTATAGTAGCCCTAGGAAATTAAGAGAAACACTAATACAGTATCTTGGTTTTCCTTGTTCCTGAGTGTGTCTGTCTGCCCTCCTGGATTGCCATCAGGCATATTCAGTCACTGCTGAAAACACTTCACACCAATGCAAGCTGCCATGTTTTAGAAAATTAGAAAAAAAAAAAATTTACATCATGAAAGCAAATCAGCCATACAGTACTTTATAGTAGAGGAGGCTCTGGTTTGCTTTTTTTTTTTTTTTTCCCCTTTTTTAATGCTTTTAAAAGTAAAGCTATATTTTTCAACAACAAAAAAATTTCTCCACAAGAGAGTCTTGTATAAGTGTGATTAATTGCCTAGATTTTTGCTTAGGAACTGTATTGCTAAGCAAATGTTTATCATCTGAAAATTTCATGACATTTAAAAAAGAAAAACCTTTTGAGATTGCCTTATATTTGTTCTTCAGTGAATCTGTGATACAGAAAGTTAAAATTTCAAACCAGGTTTTATTTCATTTTCCTTCTCAAATCAAGTACAGTATTTTGGCTTTAGTTGGCCTCAAGTACAAATAAAATAGACTAGGAATGAATTTTTCCTCTTCATTCCACATTTAAAAGTCCTAATAATAAAGGGAAAAAAGTGTTCATATTCCAGCTACTGCACAACAAACTACCCCAAAACTTAGTGGCATAAAACAACCATTTAAATGTGCTCAAAGATTCTATGGGTCAGGAATTCAGACATAGTGCAGTGGGAATGGCTCCACAATGTCTGGGAGCTCAACTAGGAAGACTCAATGGCAGAAGGCAGAGAGGGAAGTGTGACTCAATGTCTGGGTGCCACGAAGACTCACATGTTTGGCAGTTGATTCTGGCCATTGTCTAGAACCTTAGCTGAGACTATCAGCTATAACATGTACATGTGGCCCCTTCATGTGGCCTGGACCTCTTCATAACATGGCAGCCCTGTGGTAGCTCAGTACTCCAAATGTGAGTGATGGGAATGAGTGAGACAGAAGCTATTTAGCTTTCTCTCATGTACCTTCAGAAGCTGTGTTACTCCCTTCTGCTACATTCTACTGGTTGTAAGTAAGTCACTGAGGTTGGCTCAGATTTAATGGGAGAAGACTTAGATACCACCTCAGGATGAGAGTTCAAAGAATGTGCATTGTGTCTAAAAATCATCACAATACCTTTTACGAGTTAATGTTTCACATAACATAACGAAAATGGCATACATTCCAGTTAGAAGATACTATCGACTATGCTTTGGAATAAGAGACAAAACCTCTCCAGCTCTCATTTTCCTCAAATCCAGGATGGAGGGCTGCTCTTGGTGGGCTCCACAGACCTTTGCAGAGCTCTTATTTTAGTTTTTTCCCTATAATTGTACATAACAAAACCTTAGAGGGTATGATTGAATTTCATATCTGACCTTTACCCGAGAGGAAGCTATTATGCCACTTGTAGCTGTCTACAGCAGAATGAAGCAGAAACACATTTCAATCTTCTTCCTATTGTAATTACTAGTTCTTCCTATTGTAATTACTAGTAAACATAGATTTCATTTATTGCAAGGGCTGGATGCCATCTCTTTGCCTTGTTTGCTCTCCATACTCACAGTACCCCTAGCCTCGGTATTTCTTTAGGCACTTTTAGAAGTCTGCTAAAGGCCCACCACCTTTCCGTGGAGACTTCCTCTCAGCCTTCATTTGAATAGCCCAGGATCAAGAATCTTGAACATTAGAAGCAAAGTTGGTGTGGTTATCAAAGTAGAAAGTTGTCAGGAGGTAGGAGGGGTGGAGGGTAAAGGTGGAGTGTCTGACAAACAACTGAAATCCTATGCGAAGTATACTTGCCACCAAACTCTAACTAGACATATTGGTAGTATGTTACAAATATTGCAGTGAATATACATATTGCATGAGACATTCTAAAAAATACATTGCTTATCTGAAATTGAAATTTAGCTGGGTGACCTGTATTTTTATTTGTTAAATCACACAACACTAATGATAAATGCTTCCCATTTTTTTTTCATCAAGAAAATTCTTGCTGCACACCGTGAACTGTTGGAACCTACTGATTATACTTCACAGACAACCCAGACAACCCCCAAATTCTTCAGATTTGCCACAGCGGCCTCTTCCCTGCAGAGCATTGCTTTTGTTCATCCTCAGAAGTTCACCCTACCTGCTGTATAAGAGAATGCTTCTGTTGGAAGAGGTCATCAAGAGAACATGACACCAATTGACCCTGGAGCTGGACCCTGGGCAAGCAGAAGACCCCACCCCTCCTCTTTCCTTGAAATGTATGTTCAGCCCACTGTTCCCACACTAGCAGCTATTTCAAGGAGGCAGCCTTGAGAGAGTAGTGTGTTGCTAAGATCATCTGGGCTGAATATGTGACTGAACCCCAGTTGAGGCTTTTATATTAACTTTAAGATTCTAAAAGGTGGGTATGGAAATATACTTATTTTGCAGCACCTAGTACAAGCCTCGTATGTAAATTATCTTCTTTATTATACCTGCCACCTACCGATCTGGTGGTGTCTGCCTTTTTTTGGTCTTTTTTTTGCCTACCATGTACAGGGCTAGTTTGAGAAACAATAGCCTCTCCTACATAGGATGTTGTAAAACTTGGAGTTTTTGCTTATCTGTTTGGTGAGAAACTGCATCTCAGTGTAGTTTTAATAACTCTTTTTCTTACTATGGATGGAGATTGAGCATCTTTTCATATATTTAAGGGTTATTCACATTAGTTTTTCTATGAGTAATCTATATCCTTTGCATGTGTTTTCTTCATTAAGTTCTTATATTTTCTCCTCAATTTCTTAGTAACTTTTTTATATCAGGAAGGTCAGTCCTTAGTCTTACATATGACTGAGAATATTTTTTCTCTAATTTATTGATATTATAAGTTGTATTTTGACTATTAATGTTTATATATTTTTGTCCCATAGATTTGTCATATGCTTACAGGTGACTTAAAATCTCTTTCCACTACTGTATTGTGTCTATCCATGTGTCTCCTCCAGTTGTTTGTAAGTATTGCTGTTGGGCATTTAGGGCATTACAGAGTGACTTTCATGTCACTTTTAATGGTTTGGGGCAAGAAGTATACTCTGTCTGATATTACTATCAGGACCACAGTTCTCTTTTTGTTTGTATTCACTTAATTATACTTTGTCCATCTTTCTATTTCATATGAACTAAATAACTTTTATAGGACATGTCTCTTGGCATAGTGTTGGATTTTGATTCATGATAAAATTTGAAGATCTTTCTTTTGCTAAGTGATGTAATCCTATTTTCATTTATTGTTTAACAGATAAGTTCGGTATTGGCTCTGTAACATAATTTTATGTTGTATTTCAGTGTTTAGGGTATTTTTAAAAAATCTTTCACTTTATATACAGTTCTCATACTTAAGGTATATATGCTCATTTTATTGGCTACTTTTATAAACATAGTATCATACATACTTTTTACTCATTTATTTTTTAGACAGCAGTGATGACATTAGAATCATCTCCCTTCATCTTTTTCTTTATAACTCAATCTTAATCCATAATAATATATATCTTAGTATCTACATTTGACTGGTGTAGTCTGTTTACACTTCTCTTACTTGGTGTGTCAACTCTGAATCACATCCTCATACTCCCAGCGATCAACAGATTGACTCTACCTTCCATTTTCTTCCCCTGCCCCTGTTTGTTAGTTGTGTTATCTCTATATCATCAGCTCACATGGCATTTACATTTTTCTCCTTCTCCTTCATCACCACAGTACCTTTAGAGCCAGTCCTGTGGTGGTATTAGTTGACTGAAGTGCAGTCTCTGAGAGTTTCTCAAGGATGTCTCATGGCAGTTGTGGTCACTGAGTTTGTGCAACTTTAAAACTGTCACCTTTCTGTTTGAAGGGCACCTTGGTTTGATGTAAAAACTTTGGGTCATGGTTTTTGTTGTTGCTTTCTGATTGTTTATTTTTAATCTTAGAATAACAGCTGTGGTGTTTTCTGGTGTTGACCATTGCTGTGAGGAATCAGAAGCAAGACTGATGTGTTTTCCTACCTGCTCAGTGGAGTCTTTCTTTGTCTTTAAGGTTGGATAACTTTACCAGGATTTGTATCTGTATTGATGATTCTATTATGGTTTCTCAGACATAGTGTGTGCGTTTCTTATTTAGAATGGCTTCTTTTATGTGTGGAAAGTTTATTTTTAATTATGTATTTAAATATATACTCTAGTTCACCACTATTACTATTGTATCAATACAGGTGGGAGGATTCTAACCATGTGTACATTGTTTTTCTTTAGTCTGATAGTTTCATCTTCTCTCTAATCCATTTAAACTTTTAGTTTCCATTGTCCATTTTTCTTATTTCTACCTTCTATTTCTTTTACTATGTTTTCAATTGTATTTCTTATCCCTTGTTTACCTTCCAATTTATCTTCATTTTGGTATGATTTTTTTTCTTTTTGTTTTGTCTTGCCATTTCTTACTTGTGTTGTTGCATTTCTCTTATGGGGTCTTAATAGAGACTGTTTTCTTACTCAATTTCTTTTTTAAAGAATGGCAATGTTTCTTGGTTACCAATGTCAAAAAGTCTATGAGATGTTTTAAGCGAAAAAAGCAACAGAGCTGTATGTCACTAATTGTATAGCAAGGGGAACAGAAAGAAGAAATATAAATGTTTGTATATGCATAAAATATTTCTGAAAGAATATTCAAGAAATGCTGACATTGTTGGCCCCCAAGTAAGGGAAATGCATGTTTGGGAGATACTAGCAAAAGGGAGATTTTTTTCATTGTATGCTTTTTGTAACTTTTGAATTTCAAACCATATGAAAGAACTATCACTTTAAATGAAACAAATGTGATACTAAAAACTTAGGTCAGCTGGAAATACATATATGCTAAAATACTCATGATAAATTTTTTAAATAAGGATTAAAAATAATGTCAGCAAAAGGTCCCTTGCTTTATCAGACATTAAGTTCCATAGATTTCTAGAATTAAGTGGACTTAGGCCAAGGTTAGAGAGACAGATGAATGAGTTGGAATAGAAATGGAAGAAGTGTCCTTGCCCCAAACAAAGCTCAACCCCTGAATTGAGTCCAGATCCTCCTCTCTCTTGTTTCTACTTTTATATCTTCTCATGTGCATGCTTTTTTTTTCTTTCTTCTTGGTTTGTTCCTTAGTGTGCAAAATGCTGAGTTAGCTTCCATTTAAAAAAAAAAAAAAAAATCCCTGATTCTACATTTCTCAAGCAGTTTTCCAAACACATATTTCTGTTTTCACTGTTTCTATGTCTTCATTCCTATTCTCCTTACCACTTACTCTCTTCAGGTGGGATCCCTACTCCTCTGCTGCAACAGCTCTTGCCTTGTTACCAATGACTCCCAGTTCACCAGACCCACTGGTCCATTCAGTCCTGATCTTACCCACCCTCAGCAGCTTTGACAGAGATCATTTCTTCCTTCTTAAAACACTTTCCTCTCTTGGTCTCAGGACACCACATCCTGTCCTCCCTCACTGGTCATTCCTCTGCATTCCCCTTCTCTTCCCATGGGCCCTCTGATCATCCCGAATTACAGTTCCTCCCCAGGAGATCTCCAGGCCCTGCATTCCACCTTAATGCTAATGACCCTCCCAAACTTGTATTTCCAGCTCTGAACTTTAAGCTGAGGTCCAGACTTATATATCTAAGCACTTGCTTAATATCACCAGTTGGATGGGTAGTAAGAATTTTAACCTTAACATGTTGAAAACAAAACTCCTATTGTACCTTCTTGGAATTTTCTGCATCCCCAGTTTTTGCCACCTGTTTTTCATGCCATCTCCAGATTCTCTCCTTATCCTTATGTCCAATAAATCACCAAGTCCTATAAGCTCTAACTTAGCTACAAAGCTTGAGTCTGATCCCTTCTCACCATCTTTGTAACTCTCCCCTTAGTGTATCTTAGATGACTCCGAGGGCTTCTTAACTGGCTTTCCTAGCCCTATTCCTGTCTCATTATATCAAAATTCTGGAAACAAAGCTACAAAGATGTTCATTTAAGCAATGTGAACCAGACTACACTCCCTACCTAGAAAATCTTCATTCATGGCCTGCAAAGAGTCCTGTCTAAATCTCTGAACTTTTGCTCATTTATTCCAGCACAGCTACTTTGGCCTTTTTTGGTCTTCCCCACCAAATACCAAACCTGTCCCAGCCCTAAGGTCTTTGTACTTGCTGTTCCTCTATCCTAGACTTTCGCAAGTTTATTTCCTCATTACATTTGGGACTTTCTTGTGTTATTCATGTTCCTTTTGCTTCTTTCATGTGTCTACTCAAATATCATTTCTCACAGAGATCTACTCTGACCACTTTTGCTAAAATAGCTCTCCTGTCTTCCTCTCTATCAGTATATTGCTTTACTTTGTATTGTTTCTCTTTCTGCTTATCACAATTTGCTCATTGTCTGTGCCTATTGCTTGAATGCATGCTACAAAAGACAGGAATCTTGTCCATCTCATTCAATGCTATATCCCCTGTGTCTAAAACAGTGCCTAGAATGTAGTATTTGCTCAATAAAGATTGGTTAAATGAATAAAGAATGAATGAATGAAAATTCAGAAACAAACAAATACTTTGTTTGCTTTCAGTATTCACCTGCATAATATCTGAAGACTAAAGTAAAACCAGATGCTATCCAGAAATTTAAATCTATGATTTTCTTATTTTTTTTTTTGGATGAATAGGAACTTCAGCTCATTATTAAATAGTTGACTTTTCTTTCCATTTCTTTAAGTTTGGTTCATAAAAGTGGGTTCCACCACATAGTGACAGGATCGAAATGCAAAGTCATGCATGCTTACAGTCAATTTATATCTGTGGGGAAAGTTATTATTATTCTTGCCTAAACAGGCTATATATCATGCTGGGCACTCCTACTGCCAAGAGTCTGAGATCATTTTATTTTAACCGTGGTGCTCCTTGGTTGGTCTCAGAAGCTCTGTAGTGTGTGGGGATGGCTGTAAAATAGATATGTGTCTGTGCTTTTGTGTGTGTTTATTTTGAAAACCTTAGAGGTTGGATTAAAAGCAAAACTTTATCTCAGACAAGAGGGAATAAGTTTCATTCATTAGTATTATCCAGACTCCTTTCTCATTTCCACAATTAGAACTTATTATGGGGACTCTTGTTTAAACACAGAGTGAACGCAGGTAATTAACAATCTTCCTACCCTCCCTAAACTCCAGCAGAATTACAGAAAAGTCACTTTAATACAAAAGTGTAAACAATAAACACAAAAAGAATAGGAGAAGACACAATATCAGATAAGTGATGAATTCACAGCATTTTTACAAGTTGGAAAGTAGAAGCAAAATGGTAACTAGTTGATTTAGGAGAAGAGCAGAGCCTGGGATCTAAACATTCTGGAAGGGGATATCAAGAAGAAATGGGTCAATGGAGGGGGCAGGTGTGATAGCAGACGGGGGACTGGCCTAGGAAGTAGAGGAGGAATGGTTGAAAGTCTGAATGTAGAATAGTCACATTGGAGGTCTCCACTTTCACCATTCACCAGGAGGTGACCAGTTCCCCAAATGTATGCAGGAAGCAAAGCCAGTGGTGGGAGGAGGGAAGGCAGAATTGTGACAGGTGGAGACAGATATTTTATGACAGGAATATGAGTAAATTAAATCATATCACAGCCAAATGTAATTTTGTCTATAAAATAACTTATTTTAGATCAAGGAATTAGATATTTACTCTTATTTTATGCACATGACCTGTGTTGTCATCTGTGTGTGTAGGATGTGTGTTGTGTGGTGGGATGTGTGTTTTGTGGTGTGCATGTGGTGTGTTGTGTGTTTTATGTATGTGTGGTGTGTTATGGTGTGTTTGTGTGCATGTTGTATACGGGGTTGTGTGTGGTGTGAGTGTGTGTATGTTGTGTGGGGGTATGTGTATTGTGCATGGTGTGCGTATTTTCTATGTTGTGTGTGGCATCTAAACCTTGCCAACCTTATTTCTTACAGCTCTTCTACCAGAACATTCTTTTCATTTTAATTGATCTTCTAATTTTTCATTCTTTCTTTCTCATATTTACCTGTCGTTTAATTCAGGCTCAAGCCTGCTCTCTCCTTCACATCTCCTTTGACCTTATCGGTCCTTTGTCATCCTCACCTTTAGCCTGTATTTCTCTGGCATTTAACATATGTTGCCTGGGAGTGTTTTACTTTAAGTAAGTGTATTTTCTGTCCAACTAGAACTTGTGTCCTATTTTAAATTTTTTGTTTTATTTTATCTCATTTCTATGTACAAAGGTGAGGCATATTTATTTTACCTGATTTTGTAACAACTTGGCTATAGAAGAGGGTGGAGGCAGTTACTTCTGTTTTTTAGTAGACAGGGCCTGGCCACGAATGCAGTTTTACATTCACCCTACCTTTTATGGTCTCAAAGTTTACTCCCGCATATTTGTGTGCTGATCTAAGATTTAACTTTATGAAGTTCATATGCTTTTTTAGCAAACAGAAATCCTCAACAGATCAATTTTTTCTTTAGTAGTTTTATTTTGAAATAATTTTACATTTATATAAGAGTTACACAGGTAGTACCTAGACTATCTTTTTCTGTTTAGATACATATATAAATATATTTTTAACTAAAAATGGAAACAAAATATATTGCTTTGCAATCTTTCTTTTTCTAAAAATATATATGAGTATCATTTGTGTCAACAAAAATGTACCTAAATAATTATTCTTAATGACTTTGAAGAAATTACAGATTTCTTTTTTAGGCTGTTTAGACATTTACGCAATTTATAATTTTTTACTATTTAAGAAAATATAGCGATGCTAAGTGCAGTTATATACTTATGTATTTCCCAGTTTATTTTCTTAGTGTAGATTTCTAGAAGTGAAGTGACTGAGTTAAAGGGAATGCAATTTTAAAGACTGATGCACATTGCCAGATTGCCCTGCAAAGGTTTTGCCTTCCCACCAACTGCACACAAAACCATTCATTTGATTTGATTTCTAACTGCATTAGGTATCACATTTTTCATGTTTTCAAACTGTTTGACCAAAAAATGTTTTTTTTTTAAATTTTTTGTTGATTTGGATGTTTCTAATCACTAGTGACAGTGAGCACTAGTTTAATGTTCAAAAACTAAATATCAGATGTTAAATAAGTAAAATTCTTAAGCCTTGATGAGCAGTAGGATGTTGAGTATAGAAAGCAGCACAGGATGACCTTCAAGGGTTTAGGGACATTTGAGACTCTGGTAGTTGGAATCT